AGTGTACACTTTAGTATAGTCTTCTTGATTATAAAACTTAAATAAAAAATAGTTGTAACCCAAATCAATGGCAGTGAACTCGTCTTGAAGCCCCATATGTTTTTTGCGCGAGTGCAGAGCATGTTGTAACCAATACTCTTCCCCAGTAGTCTGATAATTAGAGCGCTCTCCCACGGTTTACGAATTTTTGCAGGAGCTTTTTGGGAAGGGAGAGAGTGGGTACATTCATGGAGTCTGTGAGTGGTTGTTCGGTATCAAGATGTCCCTCTTGTTCATCGTCTTCTTCATCTGAAGAGAGCATCTCCATTCAGTCTTCAAACAAAAAGGCACTGAATTTCGTCGTGGTCAGAGCTTCCTTAAAGGATTTCACAGGTAAGCTGCTCGGAGAGGACAATACTTGAGGCCTTAGCTCATCATCTGTTGGTGCAGGAGCCATCTCCACTTCGTTTTCTAGTTCACTGATTTCCGAGATTAGTGAGCTCTTAATCTTCTTGGTACTACGGATTAGGTGGTCCTCTTCCTCAGTGGACTTAGCTGTCCTAGTCGAAGCTTGAACGGCGGAACTGGACTCGGAGTTCTTATCCATATGAGAGAAAGAGAGAGGTTTCTTTACAACTTTTCGTTGTTTTGGGGACTAGTCTTCATATCCTTCAATTAGAGATTTGATGGGTCCAACCCCATGTTGCACATTTGCACCCAACACTCATACCCAAGTCCATGTAGCATAGCTTTGAGCACATCTAACTATTGTTGCAACCATTGACAGTTATGAGTCTTCAACATTGTTGGTAAATACAACTTTCGGATTGCCGGGCAAAGGGGGATGAGCATTTTTCCCCTTCTGCCTTCACCAAGCTCATGACAGTGTGCACGTGAGCTGGCCTGCAAGCCAGACCCTCCTCTTAATAGGAGCTATCCACCTCAATTCATGCAATAGAATAATATCCCCCTCCGTTTGCAAGCTTAGTGGGTCTGGTTCTCCATTGTCACTCTTTCTCTCTGTTTCAACTCTATGCCATCTCAATGCCTTCCATAACAGCCCGTGCACACCCAACCATCTACAAATGTAATTATAGTTGATGATGGGATCTTGTTCATCAACAAAATAATCTGTGAAACTTCTAGGATTTTAAATTGCAGTCATGATAGTCGGGTTGTTTGAAGTTCTTAAAATTATAGGTACTTAAAACTTCATAACAAAGCTTGAATACAAATGCTTACCACATCTACTTAACAGTTATGAGCTCATAAAAATTTTCATTTAAAAAATATATATATATAAATCCTCATCAGATTCTCTTCATTTTTATACAAAAATCATTTTCCCAATGAAATTGTTACAGGTTGTTGCAGGTGCTTTGTTAGGATTTATAGTAGCATGCCTCATGAGAAGTGCCAGTTAGGATATGGTACTGCGATTGCTATTTAATTATGTCTTTCAAGAGGCTTTTGAGCTGGTCAATTGCCAGGGCAACTCATAGCTAATCTTGCCATGAAGGAGAATCAGAGGATAATGCACAATTCTTGGTTGCAACTCTCACTTCTGTGCTTTCAATGTGAATAAATAGTTTTTGAAGGCTCCTCAAATTTCTGCCATGTTTTATTTAAAAATGATAAGAACCACATAAATTCCATATCTTTGTATTTTCTCATAATGTGTGATTGTCATTTCTGTTCGGTTTGTGTTAGATTGACAGTGCTTGCTAGGATGTAGAAGATTAAAGAATGATTTTGAAAATATTTTCATGGAACTTGAAATGTTGATTTCTCCTGTTATCCTCATATAGCTATTGATAATCCAGATGTCCTATGTTGTATGATGAATATCAGGTGCTGTACAGAACGTAATTTAGTGCTTGCTGGTGATGATTTTCTTTTACTTTGTGGTTCAAACTCGTATTAACTTGGTTCTGATATGAAAATTTGCTGTGGATATGTACTGTTAACTTTTTGAGAAGCCTTGCTCTTAGTTCTTGTCTTGAAAATGGATTGTATGGTTTTAAAATTCTTAGAAAATTACCCTAAATTTGTAGATATCCCTTATAATTTGAAGGAAAATTTGGGATATTCTTTCAAATATCCCCCGAAGTATGTTTCATTTGCCTCCTTTGATTCAGCTAACGAGTACTGTTTAATCATCCGTGACTGCCCCACCCTGTTAAGATCCGAGTATACAGCTTCCCACTTCATGCAGAAAAATGATTGAAGTGATACAGGCGCCATCATAATCACAAGGCATGATATTGTAAATCTGTGTGTGTGTGTGTATCATGTTGCACATATGCAAAAACTTTGTAGTGCACATCTGTGCTCTGTATAGCTTCTTTATGCACTTTGTGTGAGCATATAACATGTAATATGATTTCGAAGGTATCTATATTGCTTTGCTTGATTTCCCTATAGTAAGTTTGTAGGTGCATCTTTACATAGATAAGTTTTGGAGTATAGGAAGGGATGAGTTTTGTGCTTTTTCATTTAATAGATAACGAAACTTGTGAAGGAAATTCATGATCAATTTTGGTATCACATCAGTAGGTGGTGAAAGATGTGACGACTCTGTGACTTGCAATCTATCTACAAAGCAAAATGGCATTAGAGTTCCAAATATCCTCAACTAACCTTTGGAAAGAATATTTGTTTGGGATACATTGATTTTGGTTTTTTGACATAAAATGTATGATTATGTAATTGAAATGTAGGTGGGCTTGCTGGTTTCTATTGTATGGAGTCATTGGCAATAATTATTAATCAAACTGCCTGGAATTTTGGGACGGACTATTAATTTGGTTGTCCTGGATTAGACTCTCTTGGTATTGTGCTTGAACTTAATGGTACACGTGATTTGTTGGTAACTGACTATTTGGGTTAGTGTTAATGGATAACATTAACACTAAATGTTGGTAGAGATATGCTTTTTGGACGGTGCACAGTGAGCATTCCCTTTTGACATTGTTGATTAGTGCTTTTAATTTGTTTTACAAATTAGAGAGAGGTTGCTTTAGCCATTAGATTATGCAATGTCCCAAGTGCTAAAAAGAGAAAATTGGACAAGTGTGGAAGCCATTTACTTGGAACAGAAGGATATGGGGATCTACACCTAGGATTGAGTAAAGTCATGTTTTCACGAAAAGTGATGTCTAATGTGAGTCAGTTGTAAATGAGTGATGTTTTGAGTTGTTTAAATTAAGTTGAGTTTGAGTTGTTTGGGTTTTTATTTTTTTAAATATATATACAGTTTTATGGTGACAGGTAAGCTTATCGAGTTAAGTTTAAAAAATTCACGAGGTTCACAATATGTTTAAATTTGACTTAATTATATGATAATCTTAAATGAATTTTTAATGATTTAATGTAAGTTTAACTCGAGTTAACAATCCTACCCAACGGAAATGCTAATCGCACCATGTGAGAGATTAGTCTCATATGTCATTTTTACCAATCAAACATAACCATCAATTTAAACCGACTTGGAAAACCTTACAATTTTAGAGGATTTGAGTCTTTATAATTTGTATAATGAGTGAATCTATAATTTAAAAGTGATAATGTCATAATTTATCTTAATATACTAAATAATATACTATTTAGTGTGTGTAATCTTTTGTTTTTATCCATATGGATATTCTAGTGCATCAAGTCAAGCTAGGAGAAGAGAGTCAAGAAAGCTTTGAACAGGTTTTGGATAAACCCAAACTACAAATGGCAAAGAATATGCCACATCTTCACCACAAGAAAGCAATTTTAAAAGTAAGATGTAGCTGACTCATGGTGTCATCATCCATTTCATGTTCCTGATCCTCTTTTTTTTTTTGAGTACAATATTTTTAAATACTCATAGGAAACAACTAAAGCATTTCAAAATAGAACCTTTGAACATAAAGATCCATCTAAAATAGTCCAAATAGGAAAAGGCCATTTGAATATGAAAAAACATGTGAATGTGGACAACACAACACCCTCAGATGATAAAAGTGAAAGGGGCTTCAGTTGGGCCTGAGGCAGCCCATTAAAAAATCCAAACCCATTCAATTTTATTTTTATTTTTTATATAGAAAATCTATTAAATTTTTTGAATAGGATAGGGTCGGTAATTTTGGGACAATTTTTACTCTTGGTGTGAAAGAGAAAGAGAGTTAGGAGGCCCAAAACCTGGCACCACCACAGAGGCAGGTGGGCCTTGCAAGTAGGGATTCAAAATGGACCACGTGAGCACTAATTAGTGGGATTATGCTGGAGAGATTCCATCGGAACTTTTAAGCTACCTTCACCTCCACTTGGGGGCCCAATATAAAAACAAAGATCTTATAAAAGGCCTCATTGTGGGTCCCTCTATCTCTAGGGCCCGCAAGAGGCAGCTTATTTATTTATTTTTATTTTTTTTAAAATTAACAACAATTTAGCTTTTATTTTATTTATTTTTTTTTGGGATAAAAAATTAATACAATAGCAAGTTCACATTCACCATCACCAGCTAAGGGCTGGGCCGGGCTGCCCTTTTGATTTTGATTTTGATTTTGATTTTGTTTTTGTTTTTTTGATAAGGGGCTGCCCTTTTGTTGGAAAAAAGAAAAAGTGGGAATCAGAATATGCGGCCACCGACCTTATCAAATATTGTCCAATTGAATTCAAATCTCTTCCCTCCTTTTCATGTTCTCTTGTCTACTCTCCCCTAGCTATATCAAAATCCCAAAAATTTCTAACCTGAATGAAATGTAGAAGAAAGTATATCAACATGGTGTATAATCGATTACTACACCAAAATTTACCAAAATTTATTGAGATAGTTGATTATGATTAGTTTTTATGTGCATGGCCTGTATAGAGATCAATCATAACCAGCTAACTCAGTTGGCGTAGACGTATTAGTAGTGATCTACAATATATTGCTAACGAGTTAAGCTAGAATTAAGATGTTGGATGGAATCATCTCAACATTTTTCACCTTTTTGAATTATGTATAGTAAAGTAGATTACTGATCCAAGTGTGATCCTTTTATCAGGGAGTTTGGATACAACAGCCGTTGGATTTCTCCATTTGCAGATTTGGGTGGACCCTACATTATTGGGCTGGAATCTGAGAAGCCATGACAAAAAATTTTACCATTTCAAGTATGGACCAGTTTGTATATGGACCAGTTTGACAACAATGGATTTCCCTTCCTCAACTCTCAACTTGACCTAGGTGAGTCTTGAGTCTGATTTTATTTATCTGGTAGGTGAATGAACATTATCCTTTTTTTTTCTGATCAATTTTTTCTCTCTAAACCTCACTTAAAACACTGAATTCTAATATAAATAAAAAGGAGATTGATGTTTTGCTACGCGTAAGATAGGTGAACAAATTTAATTTTGATATTTTTGAAGTATCATGCAATATTGTCTATGTAGTACTCTTGGCTACGGCCAACGTGAAACTGCAATACACGTTAAGTATGTTACCATTTATCGCTTAACGATCTAATAAGGATGTGAGTCAACATATTTTATTTATAGAATTTTTAATTACGTCAAATACTATTTTTACCTGACATCTCTCTTTCTCTCATGTATATATAAGTCCACAAATCCCTAACTTTGTTTCAACTACCACAGCTGCCATTTACCCATTACCTTACACTCATCAACCTCTCCACACCACAAACCTTCCACAAAAGCCATGGACAAGTCCAAGAAGTCTCAAATTCTAAAGCTCTCTCTAATAGCTTTACTTCTCATCACCACACCTCTCATACCCACAACACTAAGGGCCACTTATCTCTACTTTGTCTTCAACCTCCTCATCATAGCCCTTGGAGCTGAAGCTGGCCTTCTCTCAGTCTTCTCCAAATCCACAGATGACAAAAAACCACAACCCACAAAGCCGGTGGCTGCTTCAGAATCATCTCCTCCACATAAAGAGGAGCCACCCAATGCCACCGGTGGAGCCACCGCTCCTGAAAAGCCCAAGGTGGTGGAAAAGTGCTTGTCGGAGAAGATTGGTGGCAGCGGCGCTATGACGGTGCATAAGGTGAAGAAATGTCCCTCAATGCCGAGTATTTTCTTTATAGGAGGCGGTGAGGCTGAGGCAGAGGAGGTGGTGGATAATGATGATGAAGAAGAAGAAGTTGAAGGAGAAGAAGTTGGGGATGTTAATGGGCAAGAGCTTTTTACAAAAGCTGAGACATTCATTGGGAACTTCTATAAGCAGCTGAAGATGCAGAGGGAAGAGTCATGGAAGAGGATTCATGGGCTTTATCAGAAGGCCTTTTGAGCAACAAGTAGCCTTTGATTTTTCTTAATTCCTCCTGGAAAATATTCAGGTTTTTTTTTTTTTTTTTTTTTTTTTTTTTTTTTTTGGGATAAATAAGAAAATATTGATTTATCAATCTTGGATCATTTGTTTGTGAAGATTGATGGTTAATTAAGTAGAGTTGAACTACCACTCTACTTGAGATTCTTCTCAACTTTAGGACTGTCAAGATTTTTTTTTTTTTCAATAATGTGAGTGATACTAGTAAAAAGTAATTAACAAACATATTAGTTAGACGCAATGTTATAAGTAGGCCCATTCAAGTAGGATTTACATGCAAGTTTTGTGTTGTGATTAATATCTATTGTAATTTGTTTATTGACAATGGCCAAGCGTTTCATGTCTTTCTTCCTTTATTAGCCCTATAAGTACTCTTAGCACATGCTTGAGTGCTTAGTTGTTAAGTATCTTGTTTCTAAATACAAATCAAAGTTCAAGAGTTGTTATATATGCTTGTATAAAATTAATTACACAATCGAGCATAATTTTTTATGGAGCATAACTGTGGACAACCTTAAGGCAAAATGAGTTTAATCATTAGGATCATTTCCCTCCATCTTTGTTGCTGATGTGGCATTTTCTAAAATTAATAGTATTTAGATAAATAACTAAAATAAAGAGCATGGTTGGAATAGAAATATGAAATAGTTGATAGGCAAAATAAAATATATACTTTATAGTAATATTTAGATAGGTAAAATGCCTATTACCGTTGGAGATGCTCTTACTCTTAGCACATGCTTGAGTGCTTAGTTGTTAAGTATCTTGTTTCTAAATACAAATCAAAGTTCAAGAGTTGTTATATATGCTTGTATAAAATTAATTACACAATCGAGCATAATTTTTTATGGAGCATAACTGTGGACAACCTTATCCATCAGGCCAATAATAAAGTTTTTGTGATTATTAAATCATCAATATCTCTCCCATTTATTTATGAAAATGTTATATTATAAAGTTGGGTATATGATAAAAAGAAATGGAAAATTCTACTAAGGGGTGTGGCATATACTCTTAGTTATATTATTTTTTCTTTAGTTATGACAATATTTTAATTATGACTTATAAGATTTTTGGTTATACTTTATGTGGTATTTAGTTATGATATTTTTTTATTTTTTATATATAGTTATGACTCAAAAAGTATGAAATTATATCATTTTTTTTTTAATTATAAAGTGCATATAGTCTCAATTATGTTGATACGATATCAGAATCCCTTTGATTAGAAAAAAAAATTGGGTAGAAAGTGAAAGTAGAAGAAAATGAAGTGAAAGAAAAGAAAAGAAATAGAGAAAAAAATATATTTTCTTACAAGCATTTGATTAAGATGAAAATTTTGTTAGAAAAATTTAAAAATTTAGTTACAGATACCCCACACATCTATTTTTTTTTTATTTTTTTTTACAATAAATAAAAAATTAGTTATAATGCTAATATAGATTGTACACAAAAATTAAGGGTGTGTTTGGTTTGGTTTGGTTTTGAGAGATAAATTTTCAAAAAAAAAATTAGGTAAAGAGTTTAGAAATTTTTTTAGTTTGTTTGGTTGTATATTTTGAAAATAGTTTTTGAGTATGGGAGTTCGGGATGATTTGATATTTTATTGTAGTTGAGTATATGTGTGTGAGAGAAAAAATGATTAAGAATGAGAGGAGAGAGAGAAAAAATGATTGATTGATGTGTCGAAAAAAGAAGGAATTGGGGTTGTGCTTCAGTTTGAGGTGCATTATGGGCTTATTTTTATAATCTGAACCGTTCATTTTGTAGGATTTGTTGAGTACTTTATGCCTACTAAAAATCATATTAATCGGATATCAATAACTATATGATCAAATTACATATTTTTGTACTATTTTTAAAAGAAAAACTTGTTTATTTTTTTGGTTATCAATCATATAGTTATTGATATCCAATTGATATGATTTTTGGTCGACATGAAGTACTCAACAAACCCTACAATATGAACGGTTCAGATTATAAAAATAAATTCATAATGCACCTCAAAATGAGGTACAGCAGTGACTCCAATTCTGAAAAAGAAAATAATTTGAAATTTTTTTCCAAAAACCCAAACCAAACAAAATTTTGAAAATTTTCTCTAAAATTACTCTCTAAAAAACAAACCAAACAAAGTCTAATTTTCTTATACTTTCTATCACTTTCAAACTAAACAAACTCATTAAAATTAAATTGTTTTCTAATTTTTTTATTTTTTTACTTATTTTATTTTAAACAAACTGACAGCCTAAAAAAAATTACACCATACATATCAAAAATGATTTGGACCCCCAATTTTTCAAACCCCCGTGACCCCCAGTATTTTCTTATTGGCTGAAAATTTTTTTTTTTTTTTTTTTTTTTTTTTTTCCTATCTGCCAATCACAATGCCCCATGTGGACTGGGGGTGCTGGGGGTCACCCCCACTGGGGGTCCCCAGCACGGTTGCCATACATATCCATCAACTGTCTCATCACTGACGCCAAGAATGTCTACTTTTTTCAGAGCAAACAGCACGCCAATATTTGCAACAACCACACTACAAACCAATAATCTCCATCAAATTAATTATTTATATTTTTTAATTAAAATAGTAAATAAATCACTAAATTTTACTTCTAAATTTTACTTATACTCCCTCCGTCTCAAAATAATGGTCTCTTTTGAGGAATCTAACTTTTTTTGGTAGTACAATTATTGCATTTGAAAAAGTTAATTTTTCAAAATTATCCTTTTGATAGTACATTTTTTGGGAATATCAATGCATAATTGTACTTTTTATGTTGTTTATTAATTTAAAAGAAGGGTAAAATAGGAAATTTATATTATTTTTGTACTTGATTTTTGAAGAGAGACTAATATTTTGGGACAATGAAAAATGGAATAAGGGACTAATATTTTGGAACGGAGGGAGTATCAAATTAGTTATTGCGTTAAAATTAGTTATTAAGTTATACATTTTCATTTTGATGATTTTTGACTCAACAAATATAATTAGTGATTTAGTCTAACTAAACATTAAAAAGTATTACTTTTTATATTTTAGAATTAATTGTGTAGAGTTTATAAAAAATAAATTAAAATGAATAAAATAATATTTAAATAGTATAGAGAAATAATAGAGAGTTTGTTAAAGAATATATTTAAAAAGATGTAAAATCAAAATAGAAAAAGTACCTTTTAAGTTAAAATATAACAAAATTTTAATTAGTTTAATGTTGATACTCTTATGAACTCAGAATTTATCTAGAGAAAATAATCAATGGTTCAAATTTATTTTATTTATGGATCTCACATTTTATCAATTTAATTTCTATCACACAAACACATTTAAGATAAATTATAAATTGATAAGGATGGATTGATCGTATTTTTATACTAGCTAAGCAATAATACGACTGATTGAGACAATAAACACATTATTGTACCTACCTTACAACATGCCATAAGCTACATATTCATAGAAATTGGAAAATATATATTTAGTAATTCATAAATATCTTCTTTTAGTTTAAGTTAAATAACTTTAATGCATAGGTTGCTGTCATTGAATATATTTTGTACATACATTTCATTGGCCAAAGGTATACGTGATTCTTCTAAGGGAAAGGATAAATTTTGATTAATTAAAAGAGTTTAGAGGAATGCTTATGGGTTATTTGGGATGTTCTAAATAAGTGTACTTTTTGACTTTTTATGAAATATGGGTTGGGTTTGAAGTGATGTGATAGAGAGGTGATGTGACTTAAATAAGATGATCTGACTTAAATAAGATAGTGACTTTTTGACTTTTATTAAAGATGCTAAACTTGGCCTAAGACTTATAATGAAATGACAATTATACACCGTTGATTTTAAAATTTGTCAATATATTATAATTTTAAAAAATAAAATGAAAAGTTTCATTCCATAATAAAATAGAGATGATCAAAATTTACGTGGGAATGCTCATAATATAAAGATTTTGCAAAGATATTATTTTTGAATATTCTCTCTTTTGTTATAAAGGTGAACTCTTTTTTTTTTTTTTTTTTTTTTTTTTTTTTTTTTTTTTTTTTTGTTGTTGGGTGGGGGGGGGGGGGGGGGGTTAATGAACTTTTTTTTTTTTTTTTTTTTTTTGTCTCTTTTATTTGTGTGTGGTGGTGAGTGAGAAATGGTAACATTCTTTTCCTTTTATTTCAGACTTCAAATTCCATTTGGTCTTTGTGGCCATCTGAGGGGTCCATTAGTCATCACATACTTATCTTCCCTTTCCGTAATTATGATGTTTTAAGGGCCTTTTCACCAATAGAGTCATTCTAATGCTCACTTTCATAATGGATTCATGGTTTTTTTTTTTTTTTTTAAATTTAATTTCTTTTCTAATATTTTTAATCTTTATAATTAACTTCCTATCAATTTACAAAAGTAAAATAAAAAAGTAAAGATTCTAATTGGAATAATTCAAAAACAGACCAAGCGATTATAACATTAACAAGTTGGCTCTATGGTTAGACTGCTCATGTTGGGCCTGACTCTTTTAGGTATACAATTCAGTACTTGGAATCTGATCTGACCTTATTCTATCTTAAAATCAGCCACAATGTTTTTGGGCCTCTGTAGCCCAATATGTTTCTTTCATAATTAATGAGTGTTTTCGGAAGATGGTTAAAAATTAATTTTTAATTTTTAAATTTTTTTTTACTATTTCATGTGAGAAGTGATATGATTCAAAATAGATTAAAAATTAACTTTTGACATTTAACTCATGTTCCCAAATGACCCCTAAGGCCCATTGGGTTTTTCTTAACCCACTTATTATTACGTAGAAAGAAGCGGACAAACTTACAATTCACGGAACAAACGAGGCAAAGACACAAGTAATCTTTAACAGGGTTCAAAGTTGAGATCATTTACCATTGATATCTTACACAATATTGCCAACCGAAACTCAACTATAAAAAGTTATTCAGAATATCTTATAGTTATATATAGATCTTGTACTAAATAAATTTAATCTCTAATGCACAATAACCCATTCAAAAAAATCTGGTTGATTTTGTTTGACTCTTAAACTTGTTTCATATCTTATAATATTCACTCTTTTTTTATCCCCTCTTAAGAGAGTCGGTTTTAATATTGAATTTGAATTATCTCAAGTTAAGATCAACTTGAGAGAACATAAACATTTGAGCTTGGTGCATCCATTTTGGGTTGACCTCAGTTTCACTTCCGAAAATTTATTAAATAAAATATTCATTAAAAAATTAAAATGATTGTTGAATTATATTTGTACTATAAAAAATAATAGATTGTCTTAAAATTATAGTTATAGTTTGTTTTTTAAATGAATATTCTCAAGTGAACGGTTCAAAATATCAAGATCAACCTCAAAAGAAACCCATCAAATCTAAACGCTCTTTCAATTCGATCTAATCTTAATAAATCCAAACCCTTTGATATTTTTATAAAGTTGTGTTTAGTTACATTTTCAAATCATTTTTGAAATGAAAATTTCAAAAAAACTTGTTTGGTTTACAAATTTTGAAAAATTATTTTCAAATTGTTCTCTCTTTCCTCTCTCCTTATGTCACATCTTATACATCAATTAACCACTTTTTCTCTTTCTCATCTCTCATTTTCCAACATTCTACACATTAATCAATCAATTTTTTTTTTCTCACACCAATTTATTCCGCTGCACAAAAAAACTACAAATCATCTAAAATTTATTTTCAAAATATACAACCAAACAAGTTTTTAAATTTTACAAAATCTTTCAAAAAAAAATTTCTTTCAAAATTGATTTTCAAAACTAAACCAAACGGAGCAGTTATCATCACCATTTTTTTTTTTTTGCACATGAGAGAAAATCACACCTACCAGGGAAATCCACATTTATTTCATTATATATTCGTAATTCATTTTTGCGATTTAATTTTATATGCATAAATTTATTTATTTATTTAGATTGATGAACGCGAAAACGAAACATACTTGGGAGAACAAGCGGCCTCAGCAGACACAGGCTGATCTAAAGAGGGAGGAACTTCTTCCATCTAAATCTCTGAAACTTGAATCTTCAAGATCAACAGCCATCCTAGCAAGACAGAATATTTTCGTTTTATTTTTGGACGGTACTCTCCAATATTATTATATACACTATATAAATAATAAATCTGTGGCCAGCATATAATACGCATGCAAAAAATATATATATACACCAACATGCCTCCTCGTGAAGCTGATTAAATTATTTATCATTGTTAAATATATAATTAATTAAGCCCTAATCACCACTGTATAAAAAATGATTCTCGAGTAGTTACCAAAAATATGCTTTAGCAATTGTTCAGCTCGAGCTTTCGTATGGATCATTGAACGAATTAAATTAATCGGGGTAGGAAAAAAAATTAAAAAGAGGACAAACCATGACAGTAGGGAAACGATGGACAAGAAGAAACAGCAATGCAAAGTCTTCAAACAAAATTGACTAAGCATCTCCATATACTTATTTCTTAAATAAAGAAACCAAATTTAAGACTTTTTTTAAAGAGTGTTAAATTTTAAAGTCAAATTTGAATAACCTACTCCTCGAATTGGACTATTAAAACTAGCTTAAGATTGACTCAAAAGGTAGAGTAGAGCTTAAATGCATTTTGAAACTTGCTAATTATCACTTGCCATCCTACTTTTGATTTTGGTGCTCAAAAGGACAAACCAATAAGGTTGGTGGTTAAGCTCGACTATAACAAACAATACTTTCAAGTAGAGGGTTGGCCATCTGCTTTGCACTTGAATAGACATGCAAGAAGTTTGAGCAGGTTTTGGGATTGGTGTAGGATGGAGGAGCCCAGAAGGCTGGTCTTCTGTGCAACTCCACTGATCTGCTTGCTTCTTCTCCCTTTGCTCTACACTGTATTTTTCAGATCAAATGCTGTTCCATTTGATCAATGTAACAATTAGTATATGTTTGTTGTTGCATTCAATGAAATATTTGCAGACTTGTCTAACCTAATTCTATGATTTAATGAACTTTTTTCTTACCAACCCACTGACTTGGTTAATTTGATTGTGAAAATGGTAGGGAAGCAACAGTTATCACCTTGGAGTGGCTATGGCAACACCAGAGAGGTTGGTGAAGCCGTGGAAGATCAACAAGAGCTGAATTCTGTCTTGAGAAGACTCGTAAGAGGTTCTCATCTTTTCTGCACATTTTTTTAAAATCTAAAACCAAATAATAGACCAAGATTATATTTTTACCTCTCCAATTACTTATGTTGTAAAATGCTATTTGATGTATGCGAACAGGTGATGATCGAATCCAACTTGACGCCACCGGACTTGCTTGCCATTCTGACCTTCACACCGATGTCTGTGTTTCCAATAGACCAGTACGGATTGATCTTCGCACGATGACAGTTTACGCACCACACAGTTTCAGTGAAAGTATGCCCAAAGCCAATCGCATAGTCCGGCCATATGCAAGGAAAGAAGATAAAACCGCCATGGATTTAGTTTCACCGGTGCAAATACTGCAGGGAAACATCACACTTCCAGCTTGTCACCATACCCATTACGTCCCGGCCATCATCTTCTCATCGGGTGGCTTCATAGGAAACTTATTCCATGAATTCAATGAAATCATCATCCCTCTGTTCATCACATCTCACCACTTCCGATCTCGCTTAAGCTTTATCATCACCGATTTCAGGCCTTGGTTCGTTAGAAGATATTCCCAGATTCTGGCCCACCTGTCTCATTACGAAACTATTAATCCAGCTGTAAATGGAACTGTGCATTGCTTTCCAGGAGCTGTTGTCGGGCTTCACTACCACGACAATCTCGCCTTGAACACCACTGCCATACCTGGAGGGTACTCTATGTCTGATTTCAGGCAGCAGTTTCTCAGAGAAGCATATAATCTGAAGAGACAGAACTTGACAGAGACGGAAAGGCCGGTGTTGATTCTTATATCGCGTTCGAAGACAAGAATGTTTCTGAATGAAGATGACATGGTGAGGATGATGGAAGAACTAGGCTTCAGAGTTGTTATCACATTGCCTCACAGAATGTCCAATTTCAGCAAGTTTGCAAAGGAGTTGAACTCATGCAGTGTGCTTGTCGGTGCCCATGGTGCTGGGCTTACAAATGCCCTATTCTTGCCCCCGGGGGCTGTCTTGCTGCAAGTGGTGCCGCTGGGGCTAGATTGGGCCTCAACCCACTACTTTGGCAGACCAGCCAGCGAAATGGGCTTGCAATATGTAGAGTACAAGATTGAACCAGAAGAAAGCTCTCTCCTCGAGCTGTACGGCCGAGAACACCCTGTGATCACTAATCCGGCATCATTATTCTTGAAAGGCTACAAAGTTGCCAGGGCTGTGTATATTGACAGGCAGAATCTGAATATCAATCTCACAAGGTTTAGGGAGACTCTTGTTCAAGCACTTCGACTTCTTGGACACTCAGCTACTATGGCTTGAAGAAACCAATTTCTGTGATCATCTTTCTTGTTTTTCCAGTGAAGATCCAATCAAGTACAAAGAGAAATTTGTGTTATTTGGAAGAGAAATAAATGATAAAACATAGGCATGTATAAAATATTTATTCATCCATGTTAGTATTTGTTCTGAAAGGCAGTTGGCAATCTATATAGACATTCAGATCCAGAAACATCCTGTTGACACAGGTTCAAGCCACAGAAACCACGTCTCCAAAAATAGGATTAAGACTGCATATATCTTTCCCTGTTCAACACCTACTTTAGTAAGAATCTCATGCACCGAGTCACCCTTTTTAGGCTTATAAGATAGTAGAATCTATGCATGCAAACGAAAACTGGAAACAATTATTAGCTCTTGTACACTAAGACATCCTACAGAATCCAAATCAAATGCATATCTACAGCAAAAATCTAAATATTAACTCTGCATTACAGTGCAGCGATTTCCAGATCACACCTTAAGAACTGAGGGAGTCAATCTGAAATTATAAGATCAAATTTGGTCGAAATTATACAATAACACATCTCCATATTTTAAATTCTTAATATGAACACAAGAACATTTATAATCTAAATATTTGTATATTTAGATTCTTGTAACCCTCGAATCATCAACGAAGCAGCAGAGTTTTCTGCGTCTTTAACTCTCGACTTCTCATCCCCTGCCACAAATAGCACACCGTCCACGGTTCCCATCTGAACTGAACATATAAATTTCCTTTCATGAGCAGGGCCGACCTCTCTCTCAATTCTGCAACCCACAGAAAAAGAATATTAGGAATTGATTTGTACATGAGAGAGATGGCAAAGTGCTCAAGGTTAATGATCTGAATTATTTCAAAAGCCAGAACATGAAAAAACTTAATCACGTAATTGATCAATGAACCAGCTCGATGCCCTTTACCCAAAAACTTTAACTCGCTAAGATGACCCATTAGAATTTGAAATGGATACAATCTGCATAACACGAGAATTTTCTTCCCACTTTCATCTTTCAAGTCAACAATTTGGCTTTGGGCAGCATACATTTTTTTATGCAGATCTGTTATGCACATACATCTAAGCAAATGAACCCCAAAGAAACAACAGCAAAGCAAAGCATTGACAAGAAGTTAAACTATAAACAACTAAAAAAACATCTTATGTCATATTAATAGTCTATCTAATTTCGGTTAACAACAGCAAAGCAAAGCATTGACAAGAAGATAACTATATAAAACTAAAATATGTATCTGTGAAGTTTCACTCCGAACATTGGTTTTAATAATTCTAAAATCTCCAAGCCATGAGCTTGAGTCAAATGTTTTTATTTTTAATCCTAGTTACTACACAGTTCTAGGAGTCAAGATAAACATCTATAATTCTAGTGCAAAACAAGCTTAGGAATGATTTAGTCAGCTTAAGCATTTTCAAGTCACAATGAACTGTCGCAGTTATATAAAACACACAGCAAATGAGCAAGAAAGTACACAAGTTCATCAGCTTCTAAATCAAGCAACTTGATTTTTCATCTATGATGGACTACCTAGGAACAACCACTGATTTTTCAATTCTTAATTACATAAGATTTTTCAAGCCCAAACTCTTATTACATTCATAGAATGATAGAGTATGCTTATAATGATGTTGTCGAGATATCACGGGTCTCTTCGCTAGAATTAAAAACCTTCCACATGTTCGATGAAACATATCCTACATTGTTGGGCACCAAACAGGAACACAATTTGTGCTTCCATGCAAACACTAAATGGAAAGTAAGCAACTTACTAGGCAGACAATAAACCCTTGAAGAGTCATACTCAAAACCATTGATATATGTATTAGCAATCCAATCGTATAACACTCCGTTAATAACTCTATTAATGTAACAGCCCCATGTAAAAAAATATAGCTAAAATGTGCAAGAAAAATGTAGTCCTAGATAAGCAATTCATGTTTGGATAGTTTTCTGAATTTATTGACTTGAATAGCTTTAAAAGCCAAAAACTTGAACCATGTAAAAAATTGGAAGAAATTTAGCTCAGTAAAGACATTCTTACCGATAACTTGGTTTCGGCCATCGCTTCTTGCCACAAAGCTCATGTAACTTCTGCTTCGCTCCTTCAATCTCATTTGTTCCACTAGAACCGCAGTAAATGTCAACACTCATTTTGTCATTGCTTTTACCATGAGATAACTTGTCCAAAGCTGCCTTTGCGGCATGAAGCTTTGCGTTTTCCTTCTGCTCAGAAGACCTTGAGGTAATAAATTTCCCATCTACATAAACACTGGCAATGTTCTTCTCTCCTTTCCTCCAATGCCTGATATCCACATGCTTGCCGTCTTTTTGGCACAACTCAAAAAGCATAGTCACTGGTTGTGGCTGTTCCTGGAGGACGTCCAGGGTAACTATAGGCTCCAATAGATGTCTAAAGATCTAATATAAGATAAGTAAAAAGAACAAGAATCAACAAGTAGAAAGCGAAAAAAAAGAAGCTTTGAGGTGCCATAAGTATTGTCTAATTTAGAATAGAGGAACCTCCACCCAAATTGAGCTACATTTAAGCATGGCAAATCAAATGCTTGCAGAATTTCAATCAAATCTAATTGAAAAAGAACAACGATTTTTTTTTAACTTATATTTTTCTTCAATTTATATAATCAGAATCGGACAGAGAAGACAGTAATTACACACCACCCAAAGAGCTTCCAAATCAAATTTACAATCAACATATATAGCTGCTGCAACAGACTCAACAATGTCAGCCAAAACCTTTGGTGCTTTGACCATTCCTCCATGCACCACCTTATCATCCTCCTGTTCCACTGCCAGTGCAAAATCTCTCACCTAAAGAAAATCAAGAACCCATTTTTTTCACACATAACATCACAATTATTTACACATACATAATATGTATAAGATTAAGCATTCCTCCACTCTTGACAATACAGTCCCCTCCGCGTGACCTATTCTGATGACAAGCTCGATTCATTTTCTTGATTATTTATAAAAATAAAAATAAAAAAAATCAAATTAATCCAATTGTGCTTGTCTATCTATGATAAATTAGATGATTATGGTAATCTGAGAGCACAAGAAAAGTGCCCAAATTTTTATTTTTTTTATTTTTGAAAAAGACAATACACTTTTAACTCATTTCAAAACACATTTCACATATTTTAAATTTCTTTTTTTAACTTAAAATTTTTTCAAAACACCTTTTACACAAATTACAATATTGAACAATGTAAAGCTCAGTGAAAGCGAAAAGGCAAGGAAAGAAAAGGAAAATATACTTTCATACAAGCATTTGTCTAGGACAAAAGGGAAAGATAAACTCTCCCACTCCAGTCTTTGCTGTTCTTACATAATTTGAATTCTCTTATATTTTTTACAATAAATTAAAAACTTATTACTAGTTATTAGGGATGAGGAACAGATATTCCGATCCGTCCAAACCGATCAAACTGAACCGATCCGCTATATTTTGGATAGATGCGTGATGATAAGCAAACGGTTGCGGATTGATTTTTTTTCTAATCCGCCTAATTTTGGACAGATGATAGATTTGAGATCCTTTGGCCGCAATCGAACCGCCGAACCGCCAACACCACTAGTAATTTGTAAAACTTTGTATATTCAATTTGTTTACATATTTTGTTTGTGTTTTCAATCAAAAAAATTTTTTTTAGATATTTTGTTATGTTTTCAATTTGAAAATCCTTTTATTAAATGGTAAGGGTTAATATTTGATATTTTTGTGTGAAAAATATAAGGCTTAGTTTTGTCATTTAAAAAAAAAAAATCAAATTAAATAGTTTTTGAATAAAAAAAGTAATGAAATAATTTTGATAATATATGATTTTTTTATATGTATTTATTATTGGTATTTGACAATTTACTTGATAGTCTTTTGATTATGTTGAGTTGGATTGTTATTAAAAAAAAATCTTGACAAGATATTGTATTATGTTCAAAAAGTTTAAACCGTCAAACCGATTCGCATCCATCCGTCAATCCGCTCAATTTGTATCCGTCAATTCGGTGGATGAATGCGGATTGATTTTTTCCAATCCGCTCATCCAGAAGACGGATTAAAAGTTTTCCGGCCGCAAACAAACCGTGATCACCCTGATAGTTATCATGCCAATATGATTTGAAGGAAAAAAAACAACAAAAACAAAAAAGCAACTTCATTGTAGTTTCTATTACTTCCATACCAATCAAAACTCAGAAAAAGTTCCACTTTTGTTCTTTCCCTCACCTTCCATCACTTTCAACCCTAATCAAACTTGGCATTTGTCATCGAATAAATTTAATTTTGTTCAATCACAATGTATACTAACACTATACAGTATCAAGAAAATAATCGTATCCGATCATCACATAGCTGAACTGGTGAGAAATTGAATCCATATGCATTAACAATTTTGTATATAGTACCTTCTCATCGAGAGCGGCGGCATTGTGGCGGACATAGCGGTGGAGGCCGTGGCGGACGGCGACGCGGGCGAGTTTCTCGGTGCTGATGTTGGCGGCGCGGAGGAGAGAGAGCTGGCCGGGATCAAGGTCAGGGTAGGCGAGGAACACGAAATTGGAGATGGCGAGGCCCAAGGCGGCGTCGCCAATGAACTCAAGTCGCTGGTAAGAGGCCGAATCGGTGTAGGAAGAGTGAGTCAGAGCCTCCTCCAAGAGCTTCTTGTCCTTGAACTGGTAGTTCAGAAGCCGTTCCACCGCCCTAACCGAATCGGCTATGTCTACTATGTACTCATCCTCTTCGCCGCCGTCCACGGCGTACGTGTACGGCACGATCTCGTAGCTCCCCATGTTTGTTTTGAATCGCTGAGATTTCAGAGAGAGAGAGAGAGAGAGAAGAGAGAATTGGAAGATGGAGAAAGACGAAGGGAGAACAGGGCTTTTGAAGTAAAGAAGAGTGGTGTGCTGTTTTTTAAATTGAAATTTGGTGACAAATTATAATGGACATGCTTGTCTCCGCTCTGGCTCGTTTGCTAATTTGGCTATTTTATTTTAATTGATTATTATTATTATTATTTTTTTTACTATTTTGGTCCTGATGCAGCGGAATACACACGAGAATTAGATATCATTCAAGTAGATGAAAATATTTTTGAATTCATAAGAAAAAAATGACTTTAAATTTATAAAGAAAAAAAAAATCTTAATATTTAATTAAATAATCAATTACATAGGCTCATAGAGTCATTTATAATAAATTAAACTCAATACTTATAAGAAAAAGTAATTCTAAAATAAATTAAGAAACTTAATTCAATACAAATAAGGAAACTTAAGAGAATAGGAAATTAAAATTCTAAATTATTTAAAATTCTAATCAAAATCTAATTCTAAAATAATAAAATTAATAAATAATATATCAAAAATATTAAAACTAAAAATATAAAAAAATTTAAAATCTTGTCCTGGTTCTGTTTAAAACTATATTATTTTGGTTAATTTTTTAATTATTTTAATCTAACTAAAAAAATTATATTTAGAATGATAGTTAGTTTTTTTTTTTTTGTAATTAATTTGATGATTAGAAGAGAAAAAATAAAATGATTATAATTTGTATGTGACATTTTATTTTATTTATTATTTTGATTTTTTTTTTTAACCTAAATATAAAAAATAAAAATAAAAATAAAAATAAACGCTTTCCATCACTACAAATTATCACATATATTTTTTTAAATGATATATATTTTTTTAAGTAAAAAAAAAAATACTCTTGCCTTGGGAGATAATGATTATTCAAAGTTGGTCTGGGATATAGGTTGGTTTTTTAGTTATTTTAATTTAGGGTTAAAAAGTTTTATTTGGGATAATTTTTTTTGACTTCTTTAATTTTTGTAAGAAAAAAATAAAATACTTATAAATTAAAGGATAAATTATAAATACATTCTCTGAGATTTGCTTAAAATACGAATTGCCTCCTGTAATTTAGAAAATTACAAATATCCCTCTATCAGAATTTTTTATTTAACAGAATTAATTAAAAAAGTAAAATTTTTAACTATTCACCTATACAATAATAAAATTATCTGAATTATTAATTGAAATAAAATTTTAATATTATTAAAAACTATTAATTAACTTGATGATTTATTAATAAAATGACTTATTTGTTATGAAGTTAGAAACTTTAAGGGGTATAATATAATTTCTAAAAACACAAAAGATAATTTATAATTTAAGTAAATCTTAAAAGTGTATTTATAATTTATTCTAAATTAAATGTGATAATTTATTTTATTTTATTTAATTAAATTAATTTATTTTATTTTATGTAACTATTTTAACCCAATATTATTCCCAAACAAACTCTCAAAGGTATGTCATATCATGCTGAATAATTTGCCAGTAACCATTCCGCGTAATTTTGTATAGATTTGAGCCGGGTGTTTTTCATGTGTCAGTGATATTCGCTTTGCTATAAATTCAAACAAGTAAAATAAAAAAACTTGACGTTCTGGGTTGGTCCCATACATGGTACAGTAATAAGTTTCAGAGCATTTATAATGGTCAAAGTTATAGTAATAAGTTTTAGAGCATTTATAATGGTCAAGTTTATAATTAGCGGTTTTTTTTTAAAAAAAAAAGTTAGTAAAAAATTGATTTAAAAATATTAAAGACTTTGAAAATTTTATTAAATATTTGATATAAATGTGGCATTACATGAGATTTGTATTGTATGGATCTCACATTTATGTGAGATATTTGATAGAATTTTTGGTAAAATTTTTAGAATATCTAGCATTATTAAAATTGATTTTTTGATTTTAGTGATTTTTTGATTTTTTTGTGTAAAAAAAATAGAGAGGTGATATGATCTAAAAAAGTCAAAAAATCAAAAAGTTAGCTTTTTATTGCCTTTTCAAAACGCCCCTTAGTGTGTTTGGTTTCAATTTTTCGAATTAAGCTTTTTAAAAATTGAGTTTTTTATTTTTCATATTTTTTGTTTTTAAGTAAATATTTTAAAAATTTTAAGCATTGTTTTACTTTTTTAGATGTATCTTATTTAGATGTGTCTAAAAGGTAAAATATTTGTGAAAAAATATTTTAAAAGATTAATAAATACACAAAAATATTAAAAATATATTGAAATTTTATTTTTATTTTTTGTATTTTTGATATTTAGTGAATTTTAAAAGATTTTTTTCACAAAAATTATGCTTTTTAAGTGTATTTATGTTAAGTGTGTCTAAAAATTAAAAAAATTGCTTAAAATATTAAAAAAATTAGTAAAAATACGAAAAATAAGAAAATAGAATTTTCTAAAAAGTATTTTTAGAAAACTCAAACCAAACAAGTCATTATTATAGTTTGGTAATAAATAATAAAAAATAATATAATTATAGTAATAGTATTTCAATAGGTAAATGTCATTTTTATAGAACTAAACATAAAAAATGATGTGTTTAGGACGACCAATTAGATGATTGGCCGGATGAATGCTCCGTCATCATCTAGCCAGTCATTTCGAATACAACAGTTTCTGTGTTTGGTTCTGTAAAAATTTGATTTTATAAAAATTTATCTGTTTTGCTGAGAGGAAAACAATTAGTTTTGACTGAGTTAGAATATATAGCAAAATTTGTGGCAAATTTGGCACAAGTTTTATGTCAAATTTGACAACAACCATTTTCACCATTAGAGCTCTATTTTTCAACCGTTGCTGTTATAGAATAGCAATAACATCTCCAATGACAAACCATTGGAGATGTACTTAATAGTTGAATTTAGAGTTCATTTGATATGTATTAAAATAGCACATATTATTAAAAGTTAGTGATAGTAACATTGTTGTTAAAAATAATTTTTTGTGACAATTTTTTACATATATAATTAAAAATTGGCAATTAATAACTTTTTTTGTCACGATTTATATAAATTGTCGTTAAAACTTACAATTAATGACATTCTTCTGTGACGAATTTTTTGAATTATTGCTGAAACTATCGTTAAAATTTATAATTAGTGATATTTTTTGTGACAATATTCAATCTGTCACTGAAAATTAATAATTTGTGATTTTTTTTAATAGTGTTTGATGAAAAATGCTATTAATTATCACAGGATCTATTGAGTAATAAGTTCACCTATTAGGACCTACACATAAGTATCCGCTAACTTTTTGGGCCAAATCACAAGAAATTTCTTTCTTGTGAATTCCCTAGTTCCGGTATGAATCGCCTACTTTTGACCATATCGATGAGGGAATTAATCAAGATATACGTAAATTGGGTTGAACACCTTTTACCATTAAATCAAAAAAAAATTAATAAATAATTTTTTTTTTTCATATTTTAAATTTAGAACAAATTTTTACCAATTGTTCCACGTTAAAATTTTAACAAATCTTTTAGTAGAGTATTTAGCATTTTTCTTTGTGATAAATACATGTGGTATCTTAATTTGTTATAAGGTTAAAATTTTAGAATCATTCTTTTCTGTTAAAATTATAAGGGACAATTTAGAGTGTTGTTATTATCATTCCATAAATTATTTTGGACCCTTAATTTTTAGTCCTTTTTTTATTATAATAATAACCTCAAATAAAATTACTATAAAAGATATCACTAATTTTGGAACACCCCATCTCACAATTAAACCTACACAATTAAATCCACCTCCATCACCACTCATCCATCTTCCCCAAATCCCACCTTCAAAACCTACCCACCATCAATATCTTGAAAATCATTTGGTGGCAATATTTCGGCAGTAACGGTGGCAATCATTTGATTACCTACACTTTTCTGACAATGACAATAAGTGGAAGTTTGTCTAGCAACCACAACTCTATAAGACGAGAGGAGTACAACAATAAAAACATAGAGGAGGTTCATAACTTTGATGTTATTCTTGATTATTATAAAAGTGAAGCACCCTCGTGAGTCTAAGGTATGATTTGATTTGTGATGCTCTTATGCTTTTATTTGTGAAGTTCTTTCTTGTGAGTTTAAGCACAATTTGCTATCTTTGAGAGGTATTGATTACTGACTTGGTTGTCGGAGTGCCCCCAGGTGAATGAACCACCGTCGGATTCTCATATTCTTGTGCAGGTTGTTGGGCTTAATCTATTCTGCTGGTGCTTTCCAGCTGAGTTCCTCATTTGGTTGTGTGGTCAAAAATCAACACCCACAATTTGGCGCCATTTGTGGGAACTTAAGGAGAATAGATAGCCAACAAAGAGCAGAGAGAAAAGATTGGGGACGATGTTCTAAGCGAGAGTAGTAGTAGACATACCGATCCTAACATCGAGGAAGAAAACCATAATGAAGGAGCACGGGATCAGAATCTCGAGGAGAAGGATGTCAGCAAAGAAGGAGACGCCCTGATGAAAGCAGGCTGAGATGAGTATTACAACGAAAGCGACCTCCAGGTATGGAAGGACAAATTCCTGAGGAGGGACAACAAGATGAAGGGGATGGCAAACAAGTTGGCAGACCTACAATCACTTGTCAACTTCATGATGCAGAACAACGTAATGTAACCACCGTACCCATTGTAGGACACGCCGATACCAGCGGCCAAGACCGACGCCCAAAAAAGAGGCCAAAAAGCAATCCCAATAGTCCTTCAGCATGACAAGGAGAAGGAACGTTCACATCGGCCTTCACGGGATGTCGAGCAAGCAGAATCAGTGAGACGTGAGTCTCAGAGAACACCTAAGGGAACTTATGTCAAAGAACATTAACACGTCTAGGGGGAGAGACTTTGCTTTGATATAGTGAATGAAGAAAAATCCAAGATGACACACCACGACGCCGGAAGCAGCGTGCCAAAAAGGCTAAAATATGTTGATAGCCAAACTCTCGAACGAACGAAGGAGGATTTGAGGGACTACCTCCAGAAGAAGCGAAAAAACGCGAGGTCACATCTCCCGTCAAGCTGAGAACACCGTTCTCAGTGGAGTTGGATA